TTGATTGAAGATATAATAGACAGCATAGGCTGTGCCAAATTTATCAGTACCGTGGACCTGTTGATAGGATATTATCAAGTGGGACTCACGGATAGGGCAAAAATAATCTCAGCATTTATAACTCCATTTGGTCTTTTTCAATATTTGGTTATGGCGTTTGGCTTTTCTAATGCTCCGGCCACATTCCAGAGGGCCATCAACTACTTAATTCAGGACCTAGGTGGGACGTTCGCCTACCTGGATGACCTGGTGGTGGTGTCGGACGGCTGGGACGAACATCTGGTGCGTTTGGAGATACTGTTGGCACGACTGCAAGAGACTGGATTCACCATAAACCTGGCTAAATCTGCTTTTGGCCGGGCCTCAGTGACTTACCTGGGACATATCGTTGGGCATGGTATGGTGAGACCCAAGGACGCAAACGTTAAAGCCATCTTGTCCTTCCCCATTCCAAGGACGAGGAAGGAACTCGTGCGCTTCCTGGGGATGTGCGGCTACTACCGTCGGTTCTGCAGTAACTTCTCCAGCGTGGCCGGACCCCTCACAGACCTTACCAGTTCTGCGGTCCCTTACATCTGGAACCAGAGGTGCGACCAGTCTTTCCACCACCTCAAAGCCTTCCTTGCCTCCAAGCCTGTAGTCCACCCCCCAGACTACACCTTGCCCTTCCATCTGCAAATCGACGCAAGTGGTGTCGGAGTTGGGGCTGTGCTCCTACAACCCGACCCAACCACTGATGTCCTTCACCCTGTGGCATACTACTCCGCCAAGTTGAAAAAACATCAGACCAACTACTCGACCATAGAGAAGGAGGCCCTGGCTCTGGTGTTGGCAATAAAGAAGTTTGAATGTTACCTCCAGTCTTGCCCACAAACAACCCTAGTCTTCACCGACCATAACCCACTCGCGTTCATCCAAACCAACAAGACCTTCAACCAGCGAATCCTCCGCTGGGCTCTCCTCACCCAGCCCTATAACCTACAAGTCCGGCACATAAAGGGGGTGGACAACCTGATTGCACACTCCTTATCCCGAGCTCCAGTGGAAATGCAGCAGCTACTTTCCAGACGCACCAGGTGATCACCTCCTTCGCGCCCGCGCTATGGTGGTCTTTGGAGGGGGGTGTGTTACGAACACCTCCACCAATTGTCATGATCTACCTACCCAGCACTACGAACCACGCCATCTATTGTCCTGATCTACCTACCCAGCACCACGAGCAACGCCATCTAGGGACGAGACACGAGTATGACTCGTCTTAGTTACCACTCCGGGGTTTCCCTTCTCCATATCCTGGTTGTTGCGTCACTTCCTCCAAGTCTTCTTCGTCAGCTCGAGTTCGAGGAGAGTACACTTCACTCTGGGAAGTGACCACAGGATCACCTATCCTGGAAACCTACGGCACAGTGACTACCTACCGTCTTCTACAATACTCAGCCTTGCTCGTCAGCCATCTCAGCTCCGCACTTAAGTATTTGTAATCTTATATTGCCTCCCCCACGTCCACTTGCTTCAAATTGTTGTATGTTGTATAAATATGTATATACTGTTAATGTTTAGGTTAAGTATGGTTAAGGGTAAATTATAGAAAGCTGAATTTTTTGTTAAGGAATTTATGGTACTTTATTATACACAACAAAATCTCGCATCCTTTGTCTACCCTTTTATAGTCCGGTTGTCTTTGTTTTTTTGTTGTTGTTGCCTGTTGGGATCTGGGTAGACTTTTAACTATATTCTAAATCCCCAACTCGTAACAAGTGTGGTGTCGCATGCTGACCAGAGCTATGCTCGGGATATCTTTCCTATTTCGAATCTTATGCCTGGAAGGTTTGGGATCATTATTTTCTGGGTTAGGGACAAAGTCACCATTCTCCTGGTCAGCACTCGGATCAGCCATGGGGAAGTCATTAAACTCTGAATCAGCTTGACTCCAATCATCGGCCTTTTTTACCTCACCCTGGGCCTTCTCAAGTCTCTTTTCCTCGGCAACTCTTCTTCTCTTCTGTCTCTCTGTGGCAGCCTCCTGTCTCTTGGACTCCGGAATATCTTGGCTAGAAATCATGAGAGCCCCTATACTGCCAGTCTTCTCTCTCTGTGCTTTGACAAATGCCAGTTCGATCACAGGAATCTTCAGTTCACTCTTGCAAATACAGGAGATGTGGGCCTCGGATTTCCAGTCACGATCGCATCCAAACTCAGGACAGAGAACAATTGGGCACTTGCAAGTAATTATGTCAAATAACTGGTCCAGTTGCTTGGTAAAGCTGTCCTTAACTGCAAGTTTTCCTCTCCCAAGAGAGATATCTCTTGCCTTTTCCCAACTGGCTAGCAGTCTCTCACTAATCTTCTTCTGACTTGTTATGACTGGAGGCTTGAACTGAGCGTTAGCCAGAGTGTACTGTGCCAAGACAGCTTTGGTCATATCACTGGCAATGTCTTTGTTTGTGTAAGTTCTTTGGTTCTTTTCACTGATTTGCCTGATTAAAACACCGTATCTCACAGCATCTCTCAATGTAGGCAGCTCCGACTTCAGGAGCTCTCTCCCAGACCCAAGATAGTGACTGAGATGGCTGGATTTTTGGTTCCTCCTCCTGACACAAGCAGCCATCGCAAATATTATCAACTTATAAATGCATCAGAATCTGAAACAAAAAAATATTGTTAGTTGGGTTGTTAAAGAATGAAGTCAGAAAGCAATGTTCACTATTTAATTGTAATGCACTAATGCAGCTGTACGTTAGATTTTCGATAAATTTCACGCTAAAATTTACCTACCAAAAGGTTGCAAAATATTGAAACTGAAATTATTTTCTGTTTATATACACTAAAATCTACCAAAAAAGTGATGGGCCATTAGTTTTAGCTGATCTCCCCTCCTATGACACACCCTACTGTGCATGGCAGCTCCTGTCGAGAGTTGCTACCACACTCTATCATCCATGAATCTCTCTAGCCTCCTTTTGAAACTTTCCAGCGTTCCAGCACTTACTACAAAGTTGCTAAGCTTGTTCCACTCGTCCACCACCCTATTTGTGAACCAGTTCCTTCCTATCTCCCTCCTAAACCTAAACTTATCCAACTTGAATCCGTTGCTCCGAGTCCTATCCTGCTCGGATATTATAAGAACTTTATCTATATCCCCTTTATTGATTCCTTTCACCCACTTAAATACTTCTATCATATCTCCCCGCACTCTTCGTCTTTCTAGGGAATGCAAGTTTAGTTTCTTTAACCTATCTTGATACGGAAGGTTTCTAAGTCCCGGAATCATTTTCGTCATTCTTCGCTGCACCGACTCCAGTGAATTGCTATCCATTCTCTATAATAAGGGCACCAGAACTGAATCGCATAATCGAGGTGCGGCCTGACTAGCGCAAGAAATAGTTGCAATAAGACCTCTGAACTCTTATTACTTACACTTCTAGATATAAAATCCAATACTGTGTTTGCCTTATTTCGAACATTATGCACTGTTTTCTAGGCCGTAGGTCCGGGCTTACAAGTACCCCTAAGTCTCTTTCACAAGTCGACTTCTCTAGGTTGATGTTGTTAAGTCTGTATACATTGACAGTATTTGTTCATCCAATATTAAGTACGCTGCACTTGCTGGTGTTGAATTTCATTTGCCATTTTTCAGACCACCCCTGCAGTTTATTTAAATCCTCCTGTAGTGCATTTGCATCCTGCCCAGAATTAATCTGCCGCCCTATTTTGGTGTCATCCGCAAACTTGCTTATGTCACTGCTGATCCCAATATCTAGATCGTTTATGTAGATTATGAACAAAAGTGGGCCTAGTACCGACCCCTGGGAAACCCCACTGGTTACACAGCCCCACTCAGATTTAACACCATCTACACTGACCCTCTGCATTCTATTGGTGAGCCATGATTTTATCCAATTTAAAACTGTCCCCTCGATACCAGAACTATGGCCTGTTCTGTGGATGAAGTCAGTAGAATATAACGAAGTACAGTATTAGGTATTATAATTTTGTTTTGACAGTGATGAACTCACTGTACAGATGAATTGGGATAAAATCTTGAAAAAATATCACCATAACTATTAGTTTTCTATCAAACAAGAAATTATCTTTATAACAAAAATTTTACTTTCATCTTATACAGGTATAAAGGCCAGTTATCTACAAGATATGAAAACTTGAGATAAAGTTTCCTCCTTTTCTCCACCTGATTATAGTAATGCAATAAATACCTTTTCAAAACACAAGACATAAACACTTTCCCAATGTCAGGAGTAAAATTGTATACAATATGTTAAGACATGGACTAAACCAGAAGTCTGAGAAAAGTATCTGCTGTTGAAATGGTCTTTTATTTGGAAAAATATTACATGTAAATACTGTATATGGATCCTCACCAGAGAGCCTTCATATAGTTAGTGTGTAGACATTTGTTTACAAGGCATATACTCAACTACGTATTATGGAAATGAAGACATGTTAGGTTCATCTTGTGAGCAAATGTCATGGAACCCATATACAGTAGGTATAGTCATGAAATTCTACCAACAAATCAGAGACTAATAATGTTAAACATAGAACAAGATGATAATTAAATGGTTTAAAAATATCCTCAATACAGTCTGCAATGTTAATTGCAAATCATTCCTGCATTTTTGTATGTTTAATATATACTGTACTGTAATAATAATAAGGATAAGAATACAATGATAATGCATATTTCAGAATATAGCCTTTATTAAAAGCAGAATATGTTATAATATATGGATGATCAAGAGTAAAGTATTTTAAAAGAAAAATCATCCACAAATTTCACAAATATATTAATAAGTAATATCCACATATGTATGCAGAGTTTAAAAAAAAATAATAATAATAATTAAGGCATACAGTATGTTATGAGTTCTCCAAGGTACATGTTCAGAAAATTCCGGAAACTTGATTTTTTTCTGTTCTATGAGTAATTTGGGGATTTTACGGAAAGTCTCCAAATTTTCCTGTTCCGAGTCTGGGAACCAGTTCCGAGGTTAGGTTAGAAAGCAAATTCCAAAATCTTCCCTGGAACCGGAAAACGTCCCCATCAATCAAATAATACCAAGATTTATTTCTTCAGTATTGGTGAAAGGTGAATATTCAGCTGTATCTCCATCTGTAAGTGAAAATAAAGTCATTAAAATTGTTTTAGTTAAATTTGCAAATTCTGAAACATCTTTATTTATGAGGGTTAATATTTATAAGTTTCCAACTTCTAATATGGGGATTTTACGGAAAGTCTCCACAGTTTCTGTTCAAGTCTGGGAGCCAATTCCGAGGTTAGCATAGGTAGCTCAGATTTGTTTGGTTTGATATGCAACACTCAAAATATTTATCCCTTTTTTTGGGAGAAATTCATAGAACAAAAATTATAAGCCCTTTAAAATTTTAATGATCTACATCAAAATGTTAACCTAACCTACCTAACTTAACCTAACTGGAAACTGACTTAACTATCATAAAATATAGTATACTGTCTTTCATATTTTAAAGGTTGGATTAAGGATAAATTCACTTGGGTTAATTTCTGGTTACAATTAATTAGTCAAGTCTGACATATTTCTGTTGTCATCATTAGAATGTATATCACATTTATTGAAGATTCGTAATTTCATTATCTTTGAATATCCAAGAATTGTAATGAAAAAAACAATTAACGGTAAAGGGAGTCATACCTGTGATTACTTTCTACAATTATTACATCTAGCTATAATTGAGTGGAGCATCAAGGTGAGTTAGGTAAGATACAAGGAGTTTAAAGATGAAATTGTAGTACAGTCTCTCCTCATCAATGACTTCTTTTGGTATTAAACAATACAATTTGGTGCTAATTTTTTCCTCTTACATAAAGTAGCTTTAGTGTATAGGGTGAAACATCTATCATGAAGTGATTGTCATTTGAACTTTACGGAGTCTGAATTTGTAAAAAAAAAAAAAACTAATGTTTTTGATCTACTCGTAATCAATTTGGTAAAATGAATGTTTAGGTCATCCATCTACTTGGCATTTGAAAAAAACATAATTTCGATGTCACCAAACCTAACCTAACCCAACTTAACTAATCTAACGTAACCTAACTTAACTGGTAAAAATCGGTCAACTTAAAATCATTAAATTCGCTGGATGGCCAAAAGATAATAATATCATCAATTCCATTTACTTTAGAAGGACATATTCATTTTTGTTGAAATCATGGACATACAAAGCCAATATATCAACATTTCATTCTACCACTGTCAATGGCAAAGTTAATTAATATCACCACTCCAACTGTTGGCCCAAACAAGTCGTAAAGTAGTTCTTTCTTGTAATACATTGAGTCACTAAGGGAATAAAAAATAAAATATGAATTTATGTCGGTGAATTTATCTTATTAGTAGCAAATTGTGGTTAAACTGATACACAAATGAAACATGCCTGGGAAGTACCTGGCACTAGTTACCTGGCATATTTGGACTTATTAAAATATGAAATCTAGGCTATTAAGTAATTATACTAAGGAAATAATTATTTTGGTAGTGCTGGACGGTTATTAATTGCGCTCATTACGAAAATTGGGTCGATATTATTTCTGATAAAGGACGTCCATTAACCATCCCAGATGGAGCAGTTTGGATTCACCTGGCATTGGTTACCCGGCATATTTGGACTTATTAAAATATGAAATTTATGCTACAAAGTATTTATACTAAGGAAATAATTATTTTGGTATTGCTGGACTGTTATTAATTGCCCTCGTTACGAAAATTGGGTCGATATTAATCCTGATAAAGGATGTCATTCACCATCCCAGAGGAAGCTGTTCTCACCACTCTTCAAATAGACCATTTACGACTTTTTTTAGCTTAATTTGATTTCAATACATTTCTACACATAAATTAGTTGTATTAGTTATCTTAAAGGCTTACCTTTTATGATGGTTAGGCGAATTTGGGGGATATAAACGGCGATGAGACAAGTAGAGGCTGGCGGCATTTTTCGTACACAAACATGGACCGTTTTTAAAAAGAACAATACAATTCTGCATGTGCTGTTCTAAATGGAGTATATCGTATAAAAAATATTATTCCTTTGCAGATTTATACATTTGATGTGCATGCAAATCAATTTTCTTTCTTTTGGTTTCAAAAATAGTTCCATCATATTGATCATTGGGCGGGGGGGGGGGGAGGGGGGTACGAGTACCACGAAATTTCCCCATGTTCCAATAACGAATCGTACATATTTTTTTTAGCCAAAAACACTTCTTGCACAACAACCATGGGAGTACTACAGCATGGTATACACCACTGCTGATCTTGCAATTGGCCCTATAGTCTGAGACCAACGAAATCATCATAAATGCACTGGCCAAAACATTGTCCCAATTCAATTACCCGTGCATATTGTCACCCGAATCAACACAGTCAGGTTTGATAGCCGAAATAAACTCTATGGTATACCAAGTAAAGGAAGGGTTTCTAAGCTTGTAGTCGGAGAAAAATAAATTGGACACAGGCATGTAATAGAAGATTATGTCATGATCATTGTAAATCTTAAAATGTACATATTAAAGGAAAAACTGAGTTGATTAATTTATTAGTTGTTAGAAGACGTCATGACATCTAGTGGGTTGTAGATTTCCTCACATGAGGTTCAATGTCTCTCTGGTTGATGTTGCTCCTAGGTATACTGCCAGACTGGGGTCACTAATTCTAAGGGGAAATACTTAACTCTAATCTTAATTTCTAAGGGTCGCTGCCACCAGACCCCTTCTGGTCAGTATGTAACTCGTTAGGTAGCGTGCAGAGTGGGCTAGGCATTGGGTTAGGTTTTTCATTGACCAGATCGATAAGGGGAAAGAAGGGTGAAACCATAACATGTCTTAACTAATTTATTCCTTATAAACTATATGGTAACAAAAAAATACAATTGAGCTGGCCTTCCTCAGAAGAAGAACGATGAGTTTGGTTACCCTGCTTACAATATATCATTCAACACTTCGGACTGCTCCACCTGTATGGAATATAGCACCATAGGTCATCATACATAGTAACACCATCTCACCTCCCTGTAGCACCATCTCAACACACCTGTTACACTCCACACCTACAGGTATGGGACTCCTTGTAATTTCTAGGTATACATAACATGCACCTCGTTCTCACACCGCCATCGGTGGGTAGAGACGAGGGCTTCACCAAGAGAAATACCAGTACTATTTCTACACCTGGTATTATAGGTCGCTCCAAGTGACGGCCGCGGAGGTTCTCACGGTCTCCTTATGTGTTCCTACTCATGTGAAGTGGTGTGCGGGGAATCCACAGGTTCACAGTGGATTGGCATAGCTGGGAGTAGTCACCACCTGGAGGGACGCTCACAGGGATAATGGCCGCCGCCTAGCAAGGCACTCCAACAGCATGGGACCTGAGGTGACGGTAGAACGGAGGGTACTGAGAAATAATGCCTGACGGGCGGTTATCACACACCCTAACACATTACTATTGCACTTATACATCAGCCAAAGCCTTAAACTGTAATAACTTCTATATAAGCCTTTTTTTACAGGGCGGGATATAGCCCGATAGGACACTGACCTGAGGTGACGGTAGAACGGAGGGTACTGAGGGCAGTGCCCCGCCGCTCGTCACAGTGTAGGCCTACAGTTTCCAATCTTTAATTTTTACTTTTATTTCTTACGGTTCTCACCTGAACACTTTCCGGTATATTGTCACTCATGCCTTACAGACACATATTTTAATCCTAAATTACACACTAAGGTAAGGTTCTGGTTTGCTAGTTCGTGGGTAAATTCATTGGGTTATAATATCAACGCGGCACACTCGAGGCGGGTACACAGGACGCTACCCTTAAAACAAAAGCCGAATGTTCATGGCGTGGGTATATCCATTTCACTTAAAACTGTAATTAGGGATCCTCCTCTCACACATTGCACTATTTGAACACAGACATAAGATTCTCTGATCACTGTACCTGTTGTGGGTATTTGTCACGTGAGGATACGAGGTGTATTAAGTTCACACCAATACATACAAGATATTTTCTTTCAAGTATAGTTTCTGGGTCACTTCCAACACCTCACATAGTTCTGACACATTTATCCCTTTTCCAGATTATTGTTCTCATGTACTTTCATATGATATCTGTGGAAGGTATGTTCGCTACACGTTCACAGACGTAAATAGTATGACCTTCAAACCATGATCCACACTTAGTCCTACAGCACACTAGTCCAGCTCAACTGGACTTTCCCAATCATCTTATGGATACCCTGAGTTCTCCTTAATGCTATGAATACATACAATTAACATTATATAACTGTACCTGGGTACAATACAACTCATGATCTAGTAACATTGAGTAGGTGAGTTACCCTTTATCGATGTTTCCTGTTCTCTGAGAATCTACAAGCGCGGTGGATTTGAATGTTATGTAGCGTAATATGAATTAAAATGGGGTTTTTAGGAATGACAATGATGTGCGCAGTACATAGGAGCATAATTTGAGAGTTGCTGCTGGACTGGCGTCTCGCTGCTCTCACAGGCATCTTCTCCACTTGTTAATTCGTGTGAAATTCCTAGGCCTAATTTTAATTATCTTCTAAACTATACGTTATATTTTTTATTCGGTAATCATTTTATTAAACTGTGCAGTGACTTTCCATTAAACTTGGTATTCATACAAAGCATAGTAAAGTTTAGAAGATATAAATTTCAACCTTCCGCAAAAGTTCTCTATATATCATAGTCATCAGAATAACTAGGCTTATAAGATTATACCTGTACAAATAACATAATATTTTAACACTTAGTATTGAGAGTTATTTATAGTTATATGTATCGTTGATAATAAAACTATCTCTACTGGGGGAATCGATGAATTTCAGAAAAAACACTACGAGTCCTGTTGTTTCAGTAGGTTTGTCAAAATTCTTCGTACATTGTGCATCGCGATATTTTTCGCGACACTACTTATGTAGTGTTCGCTATACACCCACGGTGGAGGCCGCATAGCCCGTTGCATTCTTCGTGGACGGAAGGTCACAATGCTGAACCTCCCACCAACACGTAGAACTGACAATGGAGCAGTTTGAGTTGAACGAAGTCTCACCAAAGAGAGATGGGAAGGATATTAATATTGTTATGCCGAGGCATAATTTGGTAATAATGTTTGTAAACTACGTGTTTTGATTATTTTCTATTCTAAGCAGCAATTATCTTGGCATGTTTATGGAGATTTTCGTGTAAATATTTATGTATTACCTATGTAAAAAATTTCTAGAATGTATTGCAGCATTTTTGTTTAGATTCGCTGATGTAATATAAGCCTTGAGCAGAGTAGAACGTTCTAGAGCGTCCCAAACGTGTCTAGTTCTGACTTGCAAGTCGTGGGTGGTGCGAGGGTCTTCTAGGATCGCCTGATGGGAAATATAAGCGGCAGCAAGCTGGCTGCACAACATTCCTTCGGAAACACAAGGACCTAAAAGGACCCTCCAACAAACCCTAAAACAGCACATTCTCTAGGATCGCACTTTAAACCAGCTTAGCTTAGCTTATCTAACCACCCTTGCCCCTTGGGGACTGAGAGACGTCTGTCACTGGTTAAACAACAAACCAGCCTCCGCAAGGTGGAAAGCCCACCTGCTATCATTCTCCTTCTATACTTCCCACTTCTAAACTATACCTTGCTCTAAATCTCCTTGTTCACCTCAGAGCCACGGCTCTCTTATCTCGGTGTTCTGACTGACTGACTGCACAGCGGAGAGGTGAGAAGACGCATGTCACAGTTACTCCCGACCCACGTGCTTCCACTTCCTCACGTCGGCGCCTGGCCAGAATTACTGTCGCCACACACTCCACTCTCACTTTGACGTGGATATCTAGTTTCTGTTGAATTGACTTGCTTGTTTCTGTGTTTTAAGCTCACATTTTTTAGTGCCCTCACCGATTCTCCCAGTATTAACGAACCCTGCGGGAACTGTCGTTAAGACAGGCCACAACGGGGTCCATTAGAGGGGTGTGAACTGGCCCGGTGAATGTAGCTGATACGGTAGAGTAGGCTCCCCCTTTTTTTTGGGGGTCTGTTGTAAAACCAGAGCCACCAACCTACGGCCCCCGTTGTGGGTGGCTACAGCACTGGTCCTCGGGCAACAAAGAGCTAGGTAGGTGTAATGAGCCTTCATTGTCAATTTATTGATATAAAGACGAGCAAAGAAGACGTAACCGATGGAAGGGTAATGCCACAAGTGGCCTGGGAAGGAAAACAACATCTCCTACATAGACAACATGTCCCCAACAATCTACCCCGTGGAAGAAACACCCACCTTCGCGATTCCGACTGTGATGAAGTACAAGTTTCTCAAAGAAACCGAGCTCAACCATGCATACGAGGTAGCGGTAGCACTGTAACTAATACAAGAACATCAAGTTCAGTGAGAAGCCCAATCTAGTTGGAGACCTGATACTCTCCTCCAAGACCACAACACAGCCAAGATCCTCAGCGATGTCACCAACCTCAAAGGGAAGACGGTCAATATAATACCATTAGACCCGAGGAGAAAACAACCACAATGGTCTCACTAAGATATCCTCTGGAGCTATCTGTAGAAGTCATCATAAAACATCCAAAAGTGACCAAGGCAGAGCGTTGTGTTACGAATGAGGACAAAGCACAGACAAGGCAAGTGCTAGTGGACATCAGGGGGGCCAGTCCCAGAGGAGGTAGACCTAGGCAACTGGGGTATTTACAAATTGCGTCCTTTTGTCCCAGAACCACAACGATGCTACAAATGTCAGAAATTCGAACATCACCAATCCAGGTGCCTCAAAAAAGTGAGATGTGGCATCTGTAGCGTAAGCCTCAAGAGAGAAATGTGTATTCAAAAACACAAGGAAGGAACCACCACAACAGCCAAGTGCCCAAATTGTGGAATGAAACATCACGCTTGGAGCACATCATGCCCAG